ATGCTTTTCATTAAATTGAGCATGCCTACTTGAAATTTAATTGATTGTCCCGATGATTTGAAAGTGATTGGTGAATTATGATTTTTCTGTTAACTTTTGCCTGTTTTGTCTTCGATATGGTTATGTTATTAATGACCCTGCTAGTGGGGGTTAAATGCTAGCACATGTCAACATGTTATTTATAGAACCGGTTCGTTCGAGTGACCCTGCTAGTGGGGGTTATACACCAGCAAATAATGTAGCCTGCCAGTGGGAGATTTAAACACTAGCCATGACCTATAGAGGAGACGTCTATTTTGTTCCATACTATATCCATTTTTCATGATTGCACTTGTTGGCATGCTATAAGCTTAATAAGGGCACTCCATATTTTACTTACTGAGTTTATTTCATAGTTTTTTTCTTGTCCACCATTTCAGGAAGCGAAACCAAGGATGGGGAAACCACGGGAAGTGACGAGTTAAAAGGCTAGCTATTTCGAGATTGATATAGATTTTAGAAATAGATCATGATCTTGTAAGTTAAACTATATTTTGAGATTTTATGATATCAAAGCAGATTTTTAATTTTATCTTCAGATTTTGATAGTATCAAATGTGAATTGGATAAGTTCTGAGTCTTATGCATTTGTGGGACTCTCTCACAAGTGTACGACGTCTGTCACGTCCCCGGATTTGGGTTCTGGGGTGTGACATAATATTTACATAATTACTATATGTTTTAACATTAAGTCTTACTTCTTACTTTTTAAAAATTTAAAAATGTCATTTTTTGTATGACCAGTTGAACCAATTAATTGAATCGGTTTAACTGATTGAACCAGACCCAATGCCCAAAATGAGTCAAGCATTGAGTCGGTTCTTAAAACATTGATGGAAACCAAGAAAACAACCCGTAAACAAAGGAAGGAAAAGAAAAGAGATCAAGTGAATTTGGCCTGATTTCTACGAAGGAAATTTACTCAAAATTCTTCCATATTCTCATATTAGGAAAAACAAAAAAAACAAACCTAAAGAAGAAAGAAATCCAATCTTATTTACTTGTAGGAAAACTTTAAAAATACAAGATTTTCTTTCTTTCCTCTTTATCGCACGCCTCACTACACCTTTCCCTCTGCTACTGTTACTCCTCTGTTTTTTGCTTCTTCTTTTTTCGTTTCTTTTTTTTTTTTTTTTTTAAGAAGCTAACATCCTACAAACAATACTATCCTTTGAAAGATCTTCTCTCTCAATCTCTCAGATTTCTCTCTCTTTTTTTCTTGGTTACTTCTCCCTCTTTTTCTCTTGGTTTCTTCACCCTATTTTTCTCTCCCT